TTTCTTCATTGCCCCTGTCATAACTTCAAAAATTGTTGGAAGATCGTTTTATGATACTGAAGAGGCTTTTCCTGCATCAATAACAGCAAAATGTCAATGGAGGGATGAAACCATAAAATACCGCAACCCATGGGAAAAAAGCAGGAAACAATTTGGCCATAGTTGGCAAAACTTCATAAACCCAAGTGCAAGGCTTTTGTGCTTATTTTTTTGACGCCTCAATTTTAGTCATTTAAAACCCTAAAACACCACAACAAACTTCTGCGATATACACCAAATTTAACCAAAAAAGTGGAGTCAAGGTAACCAAACAGGCAAGGCTTTCAATAGAGGAAGAAGATTGTTGTGTATTTAAACACAAAATTCGAGTGCTTTAATATGTACCAACCACCTCTACAGCAATAAACCAAGAATAATTCATATGAACAACCAAAATGATCACCAAATTATCTGGAAATAAACTACAAGAATTGAAAGCAAAGAACATAAAATTAAAAATTGAAACAATTTATGCGACCAGACCTCTAATATGCACCAACAACCTCTGCATTAATTATGAACACAATTTTAAGTATAAACAACAAAAAACGAACAAAAAATTAACTGGAAATAAACTACAACAAGCGAAATAATATCAGATAAGAAGAAGAAGGAGACCAATTTTATCTAATTTTGGGGAGTGACGATCCGACCAGATGAACACCCAAATAAAGACCAAGTTGATTTGATCAACTTAAAATTTCCAGTATAAACACCCAATCAAACGAATGAAGACTAAGTTCACAAGTAACTACCAAAGATTCAGTTCTTTTCTCTTCTGATTCTCCTACCTTCCCCACTTCCGTGTCCAGATTTTTTACCTGCCTTCCTCACTTCCACTTCCACTTTCACGACTTAAAAAATTTGGGAAGGAAAATGATAAGGGCATTTTAGACTTTTTGAAATATAAAATAAGGATATTTTGGTAAAATTCTTTATTCGGATAATTATGAAGAATTTCAGAAAATACATGAAATATATATATACACTATTCTCTCATACGCGGTTAAACTTTTGTTACTATGTTTTTTTTAATTGACGTGGCCCAATCTGAGCCACACATCGAAGCCAGGGGAAACATGCACCGGAGATGATTTCTTCCCATGCATATCTCACTATGTCTATAAAATATTTCATTTTTATTGGATGCCAAAGTCAGCAATGATTATGTATAACGGGAAAGAAAAAAAAAAGTCAGAAATGATGTAGAGCAACAGAGATCATTTAGTACCCTCTTGTTTCTTTCAAGACTTCCTGATCTCTACCTTTACTTTTGGTTTATGGAGAACTCATTGTGATTGTCATGGCAAAAGTTCACCTTTTCATATTTCATAATCTTAGCCCTGCCTGAAAAATGGTACTCCAATGAGTTTCCACTGTTTCAGAAAAGTATACATAATAATTTATTTTAAAATTACAACATGCAATCACTGACAAACACTCGGAGAACAAAAAACTAAATAGAACTTTTTAGCTATTTTACTACAACAAATCATAAGACATTTGAAAAAGTACTAAATGCAATTGTTTAACCGATGAATAACGAAAGAAACTGGACTCATAAGACCCTGTTGTATGTAGAAACGGAGTCAGGATTTTAATTCAGGGTGTTATAGTGGGATTTTTTTATTTTTTAAAAAATAAGAAGAAAAAGAGAAAGGAATATGAATTTTGAAAAAAATAAATTAGAGCATGATTAAAAAAGGGGAATTTAACCTTTTTAAAAAGGTAATTAAAGAAATTTAAAGAGTAAAAGATAAAAAATAGAAAAAGTTTAAAAAAATTTTGAAAACTAATAATTTTAGGAGCGGCATAATATACAAATTTATATAAAATGAAAAATAAAAATAAAAAACATATATATACGTGGGGTGGGGTGGGGGCGGAGCCAGGCTGGCTCCGCCCCTGGCTGTATGCGCAGTTCCACTACTTTGACAGCAACTGGATATGGTAAAGCATCCTTGCCTGCCTGAGATGCCAAAATGAAATAGCTCCAAATTATATAATAACCTCAAAACAAGCTATTTCGATATGGTTGAGAATTTCTATACAGCTACAACTAAAGTATCATATTTCTGATCCAAATAAAAAAATAAAAATAAAAACCAAATTATTATTTTTTTGATTTAGATATCCAAAATAAATATAATTCGTCACAATTAACTCTGATTCCGTAAAATGCATGAGATGTCAAACATGAAGCTGCAACGAAAAAGTGATAATCAAAGACATGAAAAAATAACTCAGCAGAACTTCTATATTGTGCATCAGTAAAGGAAATTTTGCATATACATGAAAACAGTTTTGGATTTTCCATATAAGTCTGAAATGAATAGGGTAAAAAAAAATTAAATTAAAAAGAGAATGGTAGGTAGAGGACCAGTCAATTAGTGTAGCACTAAAGCTTGAACCTGACTTTTTTTTGAAAAGTAGGGACTGATACCACTAGGCCACTAATTATTGGTTGCATAAACTTCCATGTAAGGGACATTTTTTATTTTGTAGTGATCTGCCCTCCATCTACCACTGAAAGTCTTTCAACAAATGGTCTTCGCATCCCACTGCAACAAATAGTCTTGGTATCCCACTGATCCAAAATTCCGGAGGCTGTACCGTTTTGGGATTTGGATCAAGTATCCTGGAGATTATAGCTTCTTCTAACTTTCTGTAAACCACACTGAAATTCAGTATTCTGCATTGGATATCTTTGCAATTGCGCACACACAGTTATCAGATATCTTCAACGTCATTAGTGATGTCTTCAATCTCTAGAACAAAATTCTGCTCAGCAAGTCCTTCTCTATGCTTTGCTTCGACATCCTTTAAAAACCACTTCATTCTCCTCAATTCTCCCTGAATGGATTCAACCTCGGAGTGTACTCTAGTTAAGAGTTTCGTTTCTTCAATTAACCAACTACCAATTTTTCCACAACCAAAGAGGCAGCTGGGATTTCACATCAAAAACAGCAGTGGATATTGAGTGTTTGGAATGAACAAATACTCTAGTAGTATGGCAAATAAGTGTAGAAATTATCAAAATAACTCTCAAAAATTCTGGTATAGGGCAATCCCCCGAACCCCCACATTCTGGCGGAGGGACTTTGCCCTCCAGCAACCCTCGCCAACTTGCCGCGAAGTTGGGCTACCCATCACATTGAGATATAAAATTTATTCTACATTAACAACGGTTTTAATAAAACAGATTTTAGAAAACTATCGGTCAATTGAATCTTGGTATCATTTTATTGAGAAAAATAAAAAGGTTGGAAAGAAAGAAAGAAATTAGTGTTTCGTAATCTCACGATTTTTTTCTTCTTGTTTCTTTCCTTCTAACTTTTTCTTTTTTTCACAAAACACACTAATTTCTTATAAGCCAATCAAAAATCAGTATTAAATCTCAAAACTGTTCTTAAAGAAAATTCAATCAAGCAGATTTTTGTATAGTATTAAAAATCAAAAAATTATTTTCAGGAATTTTCATAATGTAAAAAATCATATATAACATATAGCCTGTTTTCTAATTTCGACTAGGGTAGCTCGGTAGAAAACAAGTTGGGAGTAGTTATGGGATTTAAAAAAAAAAAAAAAGGCACTATTAACCTTAACGTTATTTATTGGACTGTTTGTTGACTAAAAAAATTGTTTAAAAGTATGATCAATTCTTAATATTTTTTATAAAATAGACCAATGTCAAAACCTATACAGAATGGTGAGACTCAAGAATAAAAGACCTACTAAGAATGGTTAGAGTCAAGTAAAAACAAAACCCTTTAAAATTTTCACTCATTGCTATATTGTTTTGGTCAAAATTTCACAAATGAATTTCTTATCAAATTTATGGAAAATTTTAAGCGAAATTAATATATATATATATATGCATATATATATTCATATTTAGAATCCCAATTTTTAGTAGGGAATAAATCAAAATATTTAAAGGTTTGGCGTCAATACACATGATGGTGGTGCATTTGTAGAATAGAAGATGATTGATGTTAGTTATACAGATTTTTGGGCTGAGCCCGTGTAGAAACACAAATTTCTAGCACAGTCCTTCCCTTCCAAAAATGATTGTCATGCCAATGAGCCGAACCCAAGTGGTGGGCCGAATACACAAAGTCCATTCATCGGTCCCACTTCAGGCCTCAATTGCCATTATTTATTCGGCCTAATACTGTAGGTTATTAGTTCTAACACAGTCCTCTCTTTGTTAAGTAAGACCATGTAAATAAAAACACGTTTTTGGAAAGAAAAATAAATAAATAAATCTTTTCAAATTTTATTTTCCCTCCATTTGACCGTTCCGGACTTATAAGTGCCATGTTATAAATAAAAACTGTATTTGAGTTTTGCACCCTCTTTTCACATTTAACCACTAACATAATTGTCTTCAAAAAAAACATATGGTTTGGTACTTCGGTCTTCTTGGCGCATGCATGTCAAGCTTTTACTACACTCCTATTGGTCTGTCTTAGGGGCATTTAAAAGGGGTGCAACATGAGGACTTCCAAAGTTCCCGCATTCTAATACTTCTTGCCCAAGTAGACTTAATAGCACAATTCTGTTGGAATACCGTGCATTAGTGCTGGTATAATCTTACCCGTGCCGATGAGTTATATTTTCATTAGCAGGAGCAGCACTTTTTTGTTTTTCTCTTTAGTTTCTTCCTGAATGGAGATGCCAAAAAGGGGAAGGCATGAAGACAAAAAGGATATATTGTTCTCCTTGTGATATCAGTTGCATGGAGATTCTCATCTTCTCTGAATGGAACTATCGAAACAATTAAAATACCCTAAGCACTCTCATTTTTTTGTCCGAAATTCTTATAATATAAATTGTGATTGTGACCTTGCTCATATTATAAGTAAAGAGTTAGATCACTCTGAGCCTTTTAGACTACATCCACCATATTTGAGCACCAGAGAGGCCTAGTTTGAGATACCATACCAAACATGTCTGCCATGGTTTCGACTTGGACAACAATTGCAGTACTGGTTGCACTTGCTTATGTTGTGCAAGCATGGTTAAGGAGTAGCAATAATAAGACAATACCTCCTGGTCCAAAAGCACTCCCAATTTTGGGACACATTCATTTGTTAGGAAAGCTTCCGCACCGTGATCTGCAACACCTAGCCAAAGAATATGGTCCTATCATGTACATGCGCTTTGGCTTCGTCCCCAACATCATCGTCTCATCATCAGAAGCAGCTGAGCAGTTTCTTAAGACACATGACCTTGCTTTTGCTACTAGGCCACCTCTAGAGTCTGCCAAGTATATGTCTTATGAGCAGAGGAACTTGTCCATGGCCGAATATGGGCCATATTGGCGCAATATACGCAAGTTGTGCACTGTAGAATTGCTTAGCAGCAATAAAATAAATTCTTTCAAGTGTATGAGATCCGAAGAGCTTGGCCTTTTGGTCGAATTCATTAAACAAGCAGCCCATGATCGTGTTGCCGTTGATCTTAGTGCCAAAGTCTTGTCCATGAATGCAGATATGACTTGTCGGATGGTGTTTGGGAAGAAGTACACGGACAAGGAATTCGATGAGAGGGGTTTCCAAGCTGTGTTTCATGATGGCAAGAACTTGGCGGCCACTCCAAACATTGGCGACTACTTTCCCTTTGTCCGGGCACTTGACCTTCAAGGACTGACTCGGCGCATGAAGGCTGTTAGCAAGGTGTTTGATGAGTTCCTTGAGAAGGTAATTGATGACCATGTTCAAGCTAGGGACAAAGGCCAAACCAAGGATTTTATTGATATCATGCTGGCCTTCATGGAATCTGAAGAAGTTGAGTTCCGTATTGATCGTTCTCATATCAAAGCCAATTTGCTGGTAATTTTATTGAATCTACATCAGTAATTAATTTTACTAGGATATATCGATGCCTATACTAATATGTCATTAGTTTTGAAGTGAAAAAACTATTAGTTTATTGGGTATCCACGACTTTGTCTCCACTAATCTCCTGCATACCGTGCAAGGTGCCCTCTCCACACAGGTCGGGTAAAGATTAGGGTTTTATCTGCAGGGGTGACCCAAAGAAATTATTTGCATTCAAGGAGAATCCTTAAACCGGATGCATGCTTCATGTGGCATTAGGCCCAACTGACTTACCATTATAGCCAACCACTGGTTAACCATATTACACACTATAAATTCAACAAGTTTAGCATAGATGTTATATAGATATCATGGATGAATGACTCAGATTCTTTAAATTTTGTAGTCACTTGTAATCAAGTTTGCAAATCTATTTATTCATATCCACCAATCTCCTTTACAGGACATGCTTGCAGCTGCATCTGACACTTCATCAACAACAATTGAGTGGGTGCTCTCAGAACTCTTAATGCATCCACGAGTGATGAAAAAAGTCCAGAAAGAGTTGGAAGAAGTGGTGGGCATGGACAGGATTGTGGAAGAATCGGACCTGGAAGGATTGGATTACTTGTACATGGTTCTAAAGGAAACCTTCAGGCTCCATCCGGTTGCACCATTACTGGTCCCACACCAGGCCATCGAAGACTGCACCGTTAACGGTTTTCATATACCGAAAAAGTCTTTAGTAACCATAAACGTTTGGGCAATCGGGCGAGACCCAAAGGTGTGGACTGATCCTGAAAAGTTCATTCCAGAGAGATTTGTTGGGAGTACTATTGATGTTCGAGGACGCGACTTCCAACTCATCCCATTTGGCTCTGGCCGAAGAGGCTGCCCTGGGATGCAATTGGGTCTCACGGTGGTTCGATTAGCAGTGGCGCAATTGGTGCATTGCTTTGATTGGGAGCTTCCAAACGGCGTGTTGCCAACTGACCTCGACATGACTGAGGAGTTTGGTATTGTAATAAATAGAGCTAAGCATATAGTGGCCATTCCTACTTATCGCCTTCACAAATGAGGAATTGCTTACACAATGTTTGGGAGTTTCTTTTAAGATATATGGAATTTGAATAACAAAAGGACTAAATTTTTTGTTTATGTAGTTATGTCATGTTAAAGCTTTCTTTTTTCTAGTAGCAATTAGTTGAAAATGATTTTTATGCTAAGGTAGTGATTAGTACCATAATCTATAGAGCACATCAAGTACATGTTTTGGTGTAAATCGGGTATCCATAGAAAAATGAAAGTTGTCTCTATTGGAAATAGTGACGTAGATACAAAACACTATAATATTTGAAAGAAAATAAAATGAAGGAAAATACTTTTATTTCAATTGATTAAAAATGAGTAACATATATGAGATTCTATAGGCTTCAAAACATATATGTAACAATGAAAATTAACGCTCCACTAACGTAATATTTAGCAGGCATAAGTCCCACTAACATGACTATTATTAGTTGTAACTCTCATACCTCCCACTAACTCTAGTAAAAACTCCCATAAACATAAAATTAAACACCAAATAAAAAACACAATTGACCTTCAAAGACTTTAAAAATTATAATCAAGTTTAATTTCTAACACCCCCCTTAAACTTGATTTTTTTTCAACTACAAGCAAACTCCTTAACTTGTAAAATTCCGCAAGCTCGAGGGGCTTGGTGAAAATATCCGTAACTTGATCTTGTGACTTGATGAATTTGAGCTCCATCTCTTTCTTGGTAATGCATTCTCTAATGAAATGAAATCTTGTATCAACATGCTAGCTTCGTTCATGAAATACCGGATTCTTGGCCAAAGTAATTCCTAATTTGTTATCCACAAAAATCTCCGTTGACTCTTCTTGTAGCATGTGTAATTCCTTCAACAAATTCCTCAGGCAAACACATGAAGTGAACATATTCTGCTTCACAAGTTGAGAGGGTGACAATGGCTTGCTTCTTTGAACACCATATAAAAGCAATATTTCTCATGAAAAAACAATAGCCATAAGTACTTTTTCTATCATCCAAATCTCCGGCCAATCACTATCACAATAACCCACAAGTTTGAAATCATTAGAAAATGAATATAATAACCCAAAATCAAGTGTACCTTTAATGTAAAGAAGGATTAGCCGCCTTAAAATAAGTTATGTCCGGCCTTGTGCATATTAAGTATCTCAAGCTTCCAACAAGACTTTTGAAAAATGTTGGATCCACTATCTCTCCATCTTCATCTCTTGACAATTTAATTCCAACCTCAATAGGCGTGTTCACCAATTTACAATCTTCCATCTTAAATTTTTTAGAATTTCTTTAGCATAGCCTTCTTAATGAATGAAAATTCCATCCTTCATTTTCTTGACTTCAATGCCAAGATAATAAGCCATGATGCCAATCTCCATCATCTCGAACTCTCGAGCCATAACCATCTTGAAATCTTCAAACATTTTTGGATTGCTACCTGTGAAGATTAAATCATTCACATACAAGCAAACAAAAAATATATCTCCATTCTCACTTACTTTGGTGAAAAGAGCATGTTCATATGGGCACTTTGAAAAATTATTGTCTTGAAAATATTTGTCAATTCGCTTATTCCACGCCCTTGGTGCTTGTTTCAAGCTATATAAAGTCTTATTCAATTTCAAGGCATTATATTCTTGCCCCTTTACAATATAGCCCATGGGTTGTTGAACATACACCTCTTCTTCAAGAAACCCATTCAAGAAAGCCGATTTCACATCCATTTGGTGAATTCTCCAATTGTTTTGGGCTGCCAAAGAAATTAACAATATATTTGTTTCCAAATGAGCTACGGGTGCAAATACCTCATCATAATCAATTCCGGGCTTTTAGTTATTGTTACGCCCCGAACCCGGAGGTCCGATTCGTTAGCCGGGTCCTTACTCGAACCTGAGGTTATCTACGTTAAACACATTATTTCTAGCGTCAAAACGTCACCCTTAGGATCAACACTAGGCTTTCACAAAAGCTCAAACATGCCCCAAAGGTCGAGAGAAGGGTACATTGAAGAAGAGAAGAAAAATGAACAAGCAGGTGCACTTCGGTCTGCCGAAGCAAACCTTCCAGAACCGGTCGACTGAACCCTAGCTTCGGTCGACCGAAAGACAAAATCCTGAGGGCTTGAGGATGGTTCGGTCGACCGAACTCTATTTCGGTCAACCGAAATAGGAGATCCCAAGAGCTGCAAAGTGAATCGGTCGACCGATGCACCATTTCGGTTGACCGAAATGGCAATGCCGAGCCTGAGAACCTAATGCTGGGGAACTGCAGTTGTGGTGCTAAAGAAGAACTGGAATGAGGGCTTAGAAGTATTCCGAATCTGAACTAAACCGTTAAAAAGATGAGTTGTTCAACAATTCAAAGATGAAAACTCTAATACATGATCACGATAAAATAACATTGGATTCGATTTCATGAAGCTTTTACATAATCCTTATAAATGTTTTAATTTACAACAAAACGGTTAAAGCTTCTAATTACATCATCATTTACAAGCCAAATGAACTTAACTTATTTGGTGACATGTGCTTTACAAAAACGAGTTAAAGTTCTACGAAATATATCCAAAATGTCCTTCAAATACCCTCAAGCCTGTGGTGGATTATCATTCGCTAATTCTTTTCCGTGACCTGAATAATATTAAATAATTGGGGTGAACAATATGCTCAGTAGGTGACACCTGAGACACATTTCTTGTGTCCCCGTGAATCCAAATAAAGAATAGGACAATAGGAGCCGGGGTCATACTGTGACAGGAAAGCACAACATAATAACCAATCTCAATTTCGAATAATGGAATGCGATGCATGCTAATGTCGCTCCCCATTTTTATCACATTTAAAACTATCACTTTTGAAACTGTTAATGTAACCTCCTTTGGTACCCCCTCAGCGCCGAGAGAAGGATTGGTTGCTATCCCTTACCGTTGGTACCTTAGCAGCGTCATTATGAGGCCCAGATAACTCAACCACGCTAGGGCAATCTCCCTAATTCTCTCTAGGTTACATTAACCTACCGGCCCTTTGGTGACTCCGCGGCGACCGGGTTTTTCTAAAACAATCTCTTTAATCAAAACTTCTTCCCCAAAATTCCCCTTTTCATATCAAAACAATTTTCTTTCCCATTTTGATGCCCAATGACATGCATGATCATCACATACTTTCTCAATACCATGATCAATGAAAGATTCATACACTACGCAATTTAACATGCTCCTATCCAACAATTACTAATAAATTACTAACACCATAGGCATAAGGAATTTACACATAAACATGCTTCTCACATAACAAATTCTAACAAGTTAGCAAACACACAAGTATATAAAATCAACATTTAAGCATATTGGTCTTATAAATCCACATATACACATAAACATGAGTTTCATTTACAAAACCAAATCTTTTTAGAGGTAATTAACACAATTAAGCATGTTAAGCATCAATTAACAAAGATTGATTCACTAAGGAGCAAGAAATTCGTGGATTAGAAGCTCCTACCTCAAATTTTGAGCAAAACCCTCCAAAATGGGTCTAGATTTCGAAATTCCTAAGGAGCACCAAATCTGAAATTGTTGGTACTCACGTGTAGAGCTCGCCGTGCTCTCCGTTTTGCCACAAACGATACTCAAAATTTCCAAGTATTGAAGATAGGATCTAGAATTGAAGTTTGAAGTCTCAAAATAAAAAGAAAAACTCAAGAAAGAGAGGGAGGAAGAAGAACCAGCGGGAGAAAGAGGATAGAGGCCAAATGTGGTCTCAAAGTCTTTAAGTTAGTGGTGGTGGGTCCCACCAATTTTCTTTTCTTTTCTCTTTTTCTTTTTGGCTCCATTTTACACCACACACACATATAAATGTACATTTAATTTACAATTACCTAAAACACAATAAATAAAAATAAACATGATACAAATGGGCCCAATCAAAATACTCATATACAACAATTCCGGTAGCGGGTCCCACACGGGACCGTTAGGTCCGAAAAATTGAAAAATGCAAAAACAACCAACCTTGCATTTCAAAGAGTGCCGAGCTCAATAAAATGCTTTCAACGATTATTCGACACACCCGGCACACCCCACGGTATTCGGTACACAAAACGTGAAAAGATAAAAATGCCCATGCTGCGCCAAAATTTCCGAAAAATAAATAAATAAATAAATAATACAAATTATTTATCTATGCTTTGCTTAGACATCTTTTAAAAACCACTTCATTCTCCTCAATTCTCCCTGAATGGATTCAAACTTGGAGTGTACTCTAGTTAAGAGTTTCGCTTCTTCAATTAACCAATTAACAATTTTTCCACAACCAAAGAGGAGATTTCAGTATGATGATAAAAACACATAGATAGAATTTAGAATGAATGAATACCCTTGTATTAGGGTAAATAACCCGCCAACTGACCGCGAAGTTGAGTCTTGGTATACAATATTTATCAAGCTCCACTCTACCCATCACATTGAGATATAAAATTTATTCTACATCAACAACATTTTAATAAAACAGATTTTAGAAAACTACCAGCTAATTGAATCTTAGTATCATTTTTTTGAGAAAAATAAAAAAATTGAAAAGAAATAAAGAAATTAGTGTTTCGTAATCTGAGATTTTTTTTCTTGTTCTTTCTTTCCGTCTAACTTTTTCTTTTTTCACAGAACACACTAATTTCTTATAAGCCAAACAAAAATCAGTATTAAATCTCAAAACTGTTCTTAGAGAAAAAATCATATATAACATATGACCTGTTTTCTAATTTTGACTAGGGTAGCTCGGTAGAAAACAAGTTGGGAGTAGTTATGGATTTTAAAAAAGGCACTGTCAACCATAACGTTATTCGACTATTTGTTGACTAAAAAAATTGTTTAAAAGTATGATCAATTCCTAGTATTTTTTTAAAAATAGACCAATGTCAAAACCTATACAGAATGGTGGGACTCAAGTAGAAAAGACCTATACAGAATGAGTGGCCTCATACCCCTCACTTTTGCATGACAAGTGTACCCTCTA